CTACCTCCTGAGTTAGTTACACCCCAGCCCAGTAAATTACAGTAGTCTCCCTGCCTCCTCAGAGCAAGGATTATAGGAGTGTCCCATCATGCCTGGTTGAAAATTGATTTCTTGGTACTTTGACTTAACTCTTAATAAAACTTCATGACAAATTGTGCCTTTTGGGAAGTTATTTCTTGAACCGGGATGAGGTGGTTGTAGTTGCAGTGGTGAGTTCTGGAAAGCAACATGACTGGTTCTAGGCCTTACAAACACCAGGTTTGGAGACCAGTGGTCTCCACTTGCTTATACACAAGCACACTCACCTGCATACACATGTGCACAAATAGGCTTACCTACCCACTACAACAAATATAACCATTATCAAAATCCAAAAAATGAATTAAATGTTTACAAAAGATAGTATTCAGTATTTTACCTACATAACATATAGAACATGTGCTAAGTTTTCATTCCCACCAGCAATGTGTGTGCGCGCGCACACACGCACACACACACACACGCACACACACACACACACGGGTCCCTTTCACCTACATTTTCATCAACATTTATTTTATTTTATTTTGGTAATTTGGCAAGGCAGATTTTACTTTTTCAAAAGGGTATGTTGCATGGTCAGTCATATCAAGCAAGCACACAGGACCTGGAAACTTGGTAGGCTTTTATTTTAACATTTTCTTGATGATAGGTATTCTAACTGGAGTGAGATGGTATTTAACTGATGGCTAAGGATGTGAAAGTTTTTTTTTCTATATTGACCATTTGTATTCTTCTTTTGAGAACAGTCTATTCAGTTCATTAGCCTATTAATTGAATGATTTAGGGGGTTTTGGTATTTATTTTTTACAGTTCTTTCTATATTCTAGATATTAATTCTCTATATGTTATACAATTGGCAAAGATTCTTTTTTCATTATGTAACCTGTCTCTTCACTCTGGTGTTTGTTTCCTTTGTTGTACAGAAGCATTTTAATTTTATGTAATCTCATTTGTCACTTCCTAAGATGATTTCTTATGCTGTTAAGCTCCTTTCCAGAAAGTCCTTGCCTATATTTCTAAGTGCTTTACCTATATTTCCTCTCAGAGTTTCACGTCTTACGTTAAAGTCTTTGATCCATTTTAAGTTGAGAATGAGAAGTATGGATCTCTGATAAAATTTTAAGTTGAATATATTAGGATATCTGCCAAAATGCACATTATGTTCTAACACTATGGGAATTATTTAGAAGAATGTATTACCGAACATCAAACTGAACAAGATTCTGAATTGGTGATTGTATCAGAACTATGTGTAAAAATAATATGAAATTATTAGAGCCAGCCTTAAAAATTTGTCCATGGTAAGTACCTTTTGATAGATTGTTGTCAAGTAAGCAGTCCACTTAGCAAAAGACCCCTTACTTAAATTTGCATGTTACAAAGCAATACCTATTTATTTTTATTAGCATGTTTAGCCAAATTATACCTATTATTCTTGGAAAGTATTTCATATTCCTCATCATGTTTTTAACCTTTTTCCTCTCGTGAGATATACATTTTGAAAAATGTATAGAATTTATACATAATTTAATAAATGATTATAAAAGATAGTTAAGGGGCTAGCAAGATTCTCGGTGGCACCTGCCACCAAACCTGACACCTTGAGTTCTGTCCCCAGGACCCATATGATGGAAAGAGCAAATTGACTCCACGTATGTGCGTTGGCATGCATGTATTCCCCCCCCAAGTGAGGGGGAATAAATGTAAAAATAAAAGAAAGTTCATACCTTTATACCCAAGTGAAGAAAGTGCCAGCATCAGAAGTGCCTATGAGGCCCCCTTTCCTCACGAGCTCATCTTCTCAGAGATAGCATCATCCTGAATTTTGATATTTTCTTTATTGTTTTAATACCCACATTTCTACTTCTAAGCAATATAAATTAGCTTTGTCTGAATATCGAATTATTTGTGTGTATATGTGTACATATTCTTGTGTATGTGCATGTGTGTATACAGATGCACGTGCATGTGTGTTCCCGTATTATGTGGAGAATAGATGTTGACATGCAGTGTTTTCCTTAGTTGCTCTCCACTTTATTTTTTGAGACACTGGAGCTCACTGGTTTGACCACTGTGGCTGACCAGCAAGCCCCCAAGGATTCTTCGATCTCTGCCTCCCCAGCCCTGGAATTATAGGTACACATTGCCATACCCGGCTTTTACATGGGTGCTGGTGATCTGAACTCAGGTTCCCCATGCTTGCCCTGCAAGCACTTGCCTGGTAAAAGCCACCTCCTAAACTCCCTGAAATCTTTTTTTGAAAAATCTCAAACCTGCATTAAAGTAGCAATGTAGTGCAATGTAACTGCACTCTTCACCTGGATTCCTAATTGATAGTGCTTTTACTATGCCTTCTTGATATCTTAGTAGGTGGATATATGAATATATGTATATATGTATGTATTTGCTGAGTCATTTGAAAATAAGTGATACACATTGGTCTTGAAATTTGTGCCTTATAATGCATATATCATAATAGCAGGTGCATAGGATTAGCTTTTGCAATATGTGATAGTAGTAAGGAGGAAAACATGCTTTCCCTCCCTTATTTTTTTGAGACACTATCACTATGCAGCCCAGGCTAGCCTCAAACTCTATATCTTCCTACCTCTGCCTCCTATGTACTGGGATTACAAGTGTGTACCACCATGCTTAGTATAGAGTAAGATGACTTTGTTGCATATCTTTTTATATACCCAGAAATCTTATAGTTGGATCATGTGGTAGTTCTATTTTTAATTTTTGAGGAACCACCATACTGATTTCCATAGTGACTGGTCTAATTTACATTCCTATGGCCAATGTATAACACCCCCCCCATCTTCACAATTTGTTTTGTATTTTCTTGATGATAGCTTATTTTACTTGGTGAGATAGAATCTTGATGTAGTTTTGATTTTAATTTTCCTGATGGCTAAAGATGTTGAATATTTTTTCATGTATTTATTAGTCATTTGTACTTCTTTTATTTATTTTTATGTGTATAAGTGTTTTGCCTACATGCATTTAAGTGTACCCATGTATGTGTTCAGTGTTCACAGAGGCCAGAGGAGGGCATCAGATCCCCTGGAATTGGAGTTACAGACTGTTGTTAGCCACCTTGTGGGTGCTGGGAACATACCCCGGTTCTCTGCAAGAGCAGCAAGTGCTCTTAACCATTAAGCCATCTCTCCAGCCCCTGCACTTCTTTGAGAACTACCAACTGAGCTGTCTCCCCAATCCTCAAGATTCATTTTTAAGTTCTTTATATATTCTGGATATTAAATTACTACAGATTCTTGACTATGTTCTAAGGCATATTCCTGTACATTTTAGTGCTGGATTTAAAAGATATATGGTTTTGAGTCCATCTTGCTATAATAAATATAATATATTAATATTTCATAGTTTCTGTTAAAAGCTAAAAGCAAGCTCATAGATAAGTATTTGTAGTCTTTGAAACTACAATTGGATGTTCATAGCAGCGTTATCCATAGTAATCAAATTGTGGGAACAAGCCAGGAAATTACAGCTCATGCTTGTAACTTCAGCACTCAGGAGGCTGAGGCAGAAAAGGATTATTGAGAATTCAAGGCTACCCTGGGCTACTGAGTGAAACCTTGTCTCAAACAAAGAGTGGGAACTGTTCAATGCATTGACAAATGAATAAACAAAATTTGATATGCGTATACAGTGAAACATTGTCCAAACTTAAAAAGAAATGAAAATATTATGCCAGATGAAATAAGCTAGACACAAAAGGACAAATGTTGTATGTGTCCACTTATGTGAATTATCTAGAATAAATAAACTGAAAAGTAGAATTGAGGTTTCCTGAGTTACTTATGAGTAAGACTTTTCTTTGGTAGTTCTGGGGATCAAACCCAGAGTCTTGTGCACACTAAGCATTCACTTTGCTACTGAGCCACACTCTTAACCCTCTAAAAACTGCTTTTCTTCCTTTTTAGAAATTGGTTATGTGGGGGCTGGAGAAATGGCTCAGCAGTTAAGAACACTGGTTGTTCTTGCAGAAGACCCGGGTTTGAATCCCAGTACCCACATAGCAGCTAACAACTGTCCGTAACTCCAGTTCCAGGGGATCCGATGGCCTCTTCTGTCCTCGTGGGCTTTTCACAACATGGGTGCACTTACCTACACACAGGCAATACACTCATACACATAAAAATGATAATTTTTTTTAAAGAAGTTGATTTGGCTATGTATCTAAGCTGGTCTGGAACTCTTGGGGCTCAAGCAATCCTCCAGCCTCAGCTTCCTGAGTAACTATGACGGGTGCATGCTATAGCACCCAGTTGGATATGGAATTTTTCTCTGAGTACAGATTTTAGTTAGAGATGCTGAAAGAATTTTGGGAACAGATGATAGGGCCAACAAGAGGGCCCAGTGGGTAAAGTCTTTGCTGTGCAAACCTGACAATCTGAGTTGAATCCCTGGAATCCACATAAAGGTGGAAGGAGAGAGCCGCTCCTCCCCAAACAATAGATTTTTTTTAAAAAAAGAAGTAATGATAGCATAACATTGTGAATGTATTAATACACTTGGACTATATTAGTATAGACAAAATGATAAACTTTTACTATACGTACATATATTACCACAATTAAAGAAACTACTATTGGATGAATTCCAGAATTTTAGACAAAAATGTCCTGGAAATCATGTGGTGGTTTTACTTACTGTGTGTATTACCTTGTAGCCAAGTGAATTCAGGATACGGGCACTTGTATTGAATTTGGTGGATCGATAGATTGAACTATATACCAAGTGGTATTCTAGGTACTTGTAGCTATAGTAGTAAAGAAGACGTAGTCTCTGGAGTCTACTAGTTGCTAAGTTGTACAGAAAAATGAATAAACTTCTTATTAAGGAAAAAAGGATTAAAAGTCAGGTAACCTGTTTTTTCCTTAATGATTTCCATTGTAGTGTGATTTTTAAAAATATTCCTTTTCCCCTTTCAGGTTGCTATGGGAATATATGACTACATAAAAGGAAGTCTGTTCTGATTATTGTGATACCTGAGATGTAAGTACAGTGAAGAGTGGAACAGGAAAAAACTTTAGTGCCAACCTTAGTTACAATGGCCACTGATTCAGGGGAGCCAACTAGCACAGAAGATTCTGAGAAACCTGATGGAGTTTCTTTTGAAAACAGAGTTGCCCAGGTTGCTGTAACTTTGACTGTAGAAGGTAGACTAAAGGAAAAACCCAACACCTTCTCTGCTTCTTGGGAAACCACTGAAAGAAAGAGATTTTTCCGAAAGAGTGTTGAGATGACGGAAGATGACAAAGTTGCTGAATCTTCCCCCAGAGATGTGAGAATAAAAGCTGCAGCAAATATTTCAAGAGTAGATAAACTTCCTACAAATGTGCTAAGAGGTGGACAAGAAGTTAAATATGAGCAGTGTTCAAAGGCAACCTCAGAATCCTCAAAAGATTGCATCAAGGAGAAAAATGAAAAGGAAATAGAAGAAGAAGCAGAAATGAAGGCTGTAGCAACTTCCCCTAGTGGCAGGTTCCTGAAATTTGATATAGAACTGGGAAGAGGAGCATTTAAAACAGTCTATAAAGGACTGGACACTGAAACATGGGTTGAGGTTGCTTGGTGTGAGCTACAGGTGGGTATATAATTTTCTTGGTTTTAATAAATTCCAGTTTTAGCTGGCCTGGCCACCTGAGTTATCCAGGATGAAAATATGTCATGGATTAAAAAAGTAAAAGGCCCTTCCTCCACCTTCTAAAAATCATGTTCCTGTCTAGATCCTGTTAGAAGCTCACAGCAAACATTAAAAATTTTTTTTTGCCCTTGAGGTCCCTACCCCTGTTTGTTATTTTTTTCATTGACAGTGCTGAGGGTTGAATCCAGAGCCTTGTGCTAGGCAAGTACTCTACCACTGAAGCACATCCCCAGCTCTATTTCATTTTATTTTAATTTAAATTTTGCTGTGTTGGGATTGAATTCAGGGCCTGAGACAAGGATTTTGCCATTGAGATACATCCCTTACACTCCTCTTTATATATTTCCTTCCTTCCTTCCTTCCTTCCTTCCTTCCTTCCTTCCTTCCTTCCATCCATCCATCCATCCATCTGCCTCCCTCCCTCCCTCCCTCTCTCTTGTATTGCTAGAGAGCAAACCCATATGCCCTTGCAAATGCTAGGCATATGTACTCCTACTGAGCTACATCTCCAGTTATTTTTCTGTTCTTTTGAGATAGCCTCTTCAATGTAGCCCAGGCTGGCCCTGAATTCATTATGTTGCCTAGGCTGGCATCAAATTGATGCTCTTTTGCCTCAGCCTCTCTAGTTCTAAGGTTACAGGCATATGTCACCATGACTGGTTTTCTTCCCTGTTTAAAAGGAAAAAGTCTATATTATAATATTCTTCAAGAAAATTTTCTTATTGGCTTTGGAAAATTCCCAAAATTCTTACTAATATCACATGTTGAGAACTTAATAAATATGTGCCTCATTGATTGATTATTACACTACATACTAAGGTATATCATAGGAATATATTTATTATGGTATCTACTTTTTATTTCTTTCTTTAAAAAAAACAAACTTGTGAAATTTGCCAGGTGTGGAGGTGTATGCCTTTAATCCCAGCACTTGGGAGGCAGAGGCAGGTGGATCTCTGTGAGATCAAGGCCAACCTGGTATGCATGGGGAGTTCCAGGACATAAGGAGAGCCTGTCTCAAAAAAAAACTTGTGAAATGTATGTGATTTTTTTCAGAATAGGAAAGATTTTTCTTAATCTTTGATAACCTTTATTGATAGTCTGTCCTCATGCCTTTAAAATTACATCAAAGTGAAATTACAAGAATCTTTTGAGATTAGTCAGCTCAAGTGTGCTTAGAGAGGAGAAAGAAAGAAATGGGAGAATGACTAAATTATCTAGATGTTTAGTTCTATGATAGATGTTTTTATATAGTACTATTAACTAATGAGGAAAAGAACATCACAGAATGTATTACAATGAGAAGAGTTTCAAGCAGATTAAGTCAAATATAAGAACAAATCTTGGTAACCTCAGTCAACTCATAAAAAATGCTCAACATTCCTATAGGATGCTTAAAATTAATATTGGGACTGGGTATATGGCTCAATTTGGTATAGTGCTTACCTGTCGTGCACAAACAAAGCCTTGGAGTCAAGCCTCAGCACCACATATAGCAGGCATGATGGCAAATGCCTGTAATCCCAGTATTGGGTAGGTGGTGGCAGGAAGATAAGAAGTTCAAGGTCATCCTTGCTACAGCTTGGGCTACATGAGACCCTACCTAAAAAAACCCACATAAAATAAGATTGAATAAAGTCAATAATTATATATAGCTGTTCAAATTCAATGATCTCTTTGAATGTGTCTATAAAATACCCTGATTCTACCCATTATAAGGTGCTATTGGTTGGCATAGATTGGAATTTAGTCTAAGTGTAGGAAATTTATTCTATTTATTTTATTCTCATGTATTCTAGCCTCACCTCACTGTGTAGCTCAGGATGACCTTGAACTTCTGATCCTCTTCCCTCTACCTCCCAAGGGCTGAGATTAGAGACATATATCACCATGCCCAGTTTGCAGTTTTGGGGACTGAACTCAGGACTTCATTCAAGCTAAGGATGTACTCTGAGCTACATCCAAAACCCAGGCCTCCTTCAAATAGCACCAACTCTAGCTAGAGTCTGTGAACTAAACTAAAGATGGCCCTGAAAAACAAGACAAAACAAAAACAGCAGCAAGAACAAAAATAGGTACAATAGATCATAGCAGATTAACATGTTGAGTGAGCACTCTAATATACTTTTATTAGAATAAATATATTCAAAATAGTACAGTATAAGCAACAGGCATGGTGCTGCATACCTGTAATCCCCAGCACTTGGGAGATTGGAGGCAGGAACATTTTGAATTAGATTCAACAATTTATTTATGAAAAATGTAAGTTTTTGACATATTTACTCTAAATCACTTAATTTTGTTCTTAAAATAGTTTTATGATCCTCTCAGAAATGATTCTAGATTCTGTTGGAGCTATACAAGAAAATGCCCACCCCTATAATGCTATGTAGTTCTATTTCCTCCTGCTCCATCAGATCCAGCTGTAGAAATAGTATAGTTTCATGGCAAAGAGATTACCTTGAATCTAGGGATGATGAAGCTTGCTTAAATGTATATGTTCTAGCTTCTTTGTTTAATAAGTCACATAACTTTATTAGATCAAAATTAAAGACTTTGCTTTTATAAAATGGCAAAGGATGGGTGTGGCAGGAAACAACCCTGATCTAGAAAATAGCATTAATTTCTAGTTTTGTAAATTATTTTTGAGTTATTTGTTGGATAGACTGAAAAAAGAAAAAGAAAGAAATTGATAGATGTAGTACGTTGAATGTCTTAATCCTTGGAATCTTACATTCCAAAAAGGGACCTTTGCAGATGAGATTAAGTTAAAGATATAGAAATGGGGAGATTATCTTGAATCTTCTGAGTAGACCTTGTATGATTTTTATAAGATCTTTAGAGAGGGAAGAAGGTTGGCAGTCGTCAAAGAAAGATCTAAGAATAGAAGCAGAGGTTGGAATGAGACTATTGCTGGACTAGGTAAAAAAGCCAAGGGATGCAGATAGCTTCTAGAAAGCTAGAAAAGGCAAGGAAATATATAGTTACCCAGAGCCCCCAGAATAAACATAGTGCTGCTGATACTGATTTCAGTCCATTGTGGTTCATTGTAGACTTGTGTTTCCCATACCTAGACAATAATGTGTTTGTCTTTTAATCCACTGAGTTTATGCTAATTTCTTATTGTAGCATAAGAAATGAAAGCAGTCTATTACAGTTGCCATTCTTTTGTTCATTCAACAAATTAATATTCCCTGCAATATGCCAGACCTATTTTAAGTGCTAGGGACACAATGGGAAAAAAAGCAGACAAGGCCTGATTTCATAAACTTATAGTAGGGAGAGTTTATAGTCAGTAGTAAGAAGGCTTGGAGGTTGGAGTTAGTGAAAAGATGAAATGGCTGTTAAATGTAGGTTTGTTTAAAGGAAATGATAGGGCTTAAAAGTAGGAAGAAACAGGTACATTCCTTTAATACCTAGTTTTCTTTTTCAACTTTTTATTTTCAGATGATTTTCTACTTATAAGAGTTATAAAAGAGTTACAAATACTATAATACTATTAACTAAAATATAGAACTTAATCAGAATTTATCAATTTTATCACTAATAATTCTTTTTTCAGTTCTATGATCGTATCCATGGCTCTATACTGTGTTTACTTGTATTGTTCCTCCTTCCTCTTTGTTTTTTTTTCAGTTTTCCTTGAACTTTTGAAGGGTATTATCAGTTTTCTTTCTTTTCTTTTCTTTTTTTTTTGCCTTTGTTTGAGACAATGACCCAGATCTCATTAAGTAAACCAGGCTGATTTGAATTTATAATCTTTCTCCCTCTGCTTCTTGAATGCTAGGATTGTAGCATTCACTGCCATGCTTGGCTAGCAAGATTGCATTTTTGGCAAGAATACCACAAAAATGATGGCCCTCCATCCAGTCCTTGATATTATGGGTGACATGTGTTGCTATGTATTAATGGTGATATAATATTTAAAATTTTTTATTATTTTTATTTTATATGTATGAATGTATTGCTGATCTCCTGGAACTGGAGTTACAGATGGTTGTTAGTTGCCTTGTGGGTGCTGGGAATTGAACCCGGGTCCTCTGCAAGAGTAGCCAGTGCTCTTAAACCACTGAGCTATCTCTCCAACCCCTAATGGTGATATAATCTTGAACATTTGACTATAGTATTGTCTGTCAGACTGTCCCTACTATAAAGTTCTCACCCCCTTTGTAGATTAGTAAATTTCTTAGGGGTACATACTCTGACACTGTGAAATATTTGTCTTCAAAATGTTCACTTACTGATTTTGGTCCTTTTGTTTTTGTTTTGTTTTGTTTTGTCTTTTTGAGACAGGGTCTCCCTGTAGCCCCAGCTGGCCTGGAACTTGCTCTGTAGATCAGGATAGCCTCGAACACACAGAGATCTGCCTGCCTCTGCCTCACAAGTGCTGGGATTAAAAGCTTGCACCACCACTTCTGGCCTGGTGTGTTTTAAACTATAACTGTAATTATGGTGTTCTGCTTATTTGTTTTTGAGACTGGGTCTCATTATGTAGTGAGACTGCCCTGGAACTTGCTGTGTAGCCCAACCTGCCCAGACTTGTGATCCTCCTACCTCAAGCTCCCGAGTTTATGTACCATCATACTTTGGCCAGTTGTAAGATTCAGATGCTAACTTTCTATTTCCCATATTCCTTCAGCATTTATCATATGGAATTATCTCTTAACTTTGCATGTGTTTTTTCCCCAATAATCTCTTAAGTTTCTGAAAATTTATCAATAGAGAAATTTGTGGTTGAGGTGCTTTAGTATAGTTAGTGACAATAGATATTATATTCTTTGCATTTATCGTAAAAATTAGCATTTAATTGAGCACTATACAAGTACTTAATATGATTATTAATTTTGGCAATAGTTATATGAAGTAAAGAGTATCTGTTTTCAGATGTCGGATCAGAGGTTTAGGCACATTAAATGACTAGTTTCAAGAGAGAATGTAAG